TTTTTATTAGTATTATTATTGAATTAACATGTTTTATTATTGTAAGTAACTATTTATGTATGATACAATCTAAATTCTTTGCGACTCTCCAGAATGAACATATAATTTTGTTTAAAACTATCGTGTTCAGTGCACCTGTATTTATGTAAATGATCATATATTATTATTTATTTACTTGAAATATATAAAATAATGTTTTTATTTTCGCTTAGAAACATACAAGTATCTAAAAGGATTTCAAAGGAACTGCTTTAATACAATATTCCTAACGAATTTGATATACGGCATTCCTGGTCACGTGTCAATTTGTGTTGTTTTGCATATTCAATTACTAAAGTCAGAATTCTAAAGTCTGACATTATTGGACGATATGTTACACTCATTAACGCGGAAAAAGCAAGAAAACTGGAAAGTAATTGAGCCATAAATGAAGACAACAAAAAGTGATTCCTTGAGAAAACAAAGGTTAAATGATTGTGTGTGAGACTTACGAATTTTACGACCCTTGCATTCACATAAAAAATAATGATGTGACATTTTGAAGTCAAATAATTGCAAAGGTTGTCATTGTCCGCTTTCACCGAAATATGAGATTTTCATAAGATAAGGCATTTCCAGGGTGGTTGCAAAAAAGGGAATACAAACATACATTAAAGTCATTAATGGAGACAACAGTCAATAAGTCTAATGTACAATGCGAGGGTGTTTGGAGGGTGAATTATAACGAGATATTTTTGAAATACCATATTTAAATACTCAAATTGAAAAATTCTATAAAAATATACCGATTTGTGTTTCAGACTTGCACTTCAAGTTAAGAAAAACTTTTAGATTAAATATTTCGGTATAAATATTAGTTTCCTATAATATCGATTTGTGCTTCAGACTTGTACCTCAAGTTGAGCAAAATTTTTAGAATAAATATTTCGGCATAATATCAATTTCCTAAAATTTAGTTCTACATCTCTCCTTATTAAATTTTATGAAAAATTTTAAGAAAATACGTTTTATTACTGTCCTTGAAATTACTGTCCTTCCACTATACCATATCTTTATAGATCCACTATTTGGTGATCATATTATTGTATTGCCAATAATATTTTTCTGCTACTTGAGTAAACTGTTTCAGGTTCAACTCAATAAGGCATTTAAAATTCAAACCACCCTGACGTATAACAGACCATTTCACGACTTGCAATTATTTATGCTTAATTGATCTTTTGTGTGCAAGGGTACCACTCCAAGCCACCTGGTATTTTTTTTTAAATTTCACTCCACAAAACATTTCAACAATAAAAATTCAAAAATAATCAACTAATTTGTCCTCTGTTAAAAATAACTATTTATCACTTCGAATATTATAATAATTGTTGTTAACGCAGACCAATTTCAATAAATTCTGTTTTTGTTTCATTTCAAAAAAATTATTTTATATATATATATATAGATATAAATTAAATAAATATAAATTAAATTAGCTTTCAGTTTCTATAGACTTTAAAAAACATGTATTGAATTTAAATATTGTGTAAACAAAATTATAATTCTCATAAACTTAACTGTGTCATATATATTTATATGACTGAAATGTTACTGTCGTTGTGGCAAGAGGCCAACAGTGTTTTACTGTGTATTAATTATGTATTGTCAACTCCAAAAAAAAAAAATGATTTAAATTTTTCTATTTCGAATTTTAATTTTTAGAAATCAATAAAAATTTTGAACTACTTTTATTGTTAAAAATAATGGTAGAGCAAAATATGATTGCCGGAGCGATGCACATTTTAAAGCAACTATATTTTTTTTTTTTTTTTCTTTAATTTAAATAAATGCATTAATGCTATATTAAGGAATTTAGTCGTAATCGCACCAATAGAGGACTCAGCATTATAGAATTTAACTAATAATTAGGAAACAAAGTTATTCAGCAGTATTCCCTTCTGAATATAAGTATACAATAGATCAAGCTGGACGCATTAGATAAAAGCGTGACCCTTAAACCATTATCATTACCATTTCCTATAGCATATGTCACCGGTGGTTAAAGGAAATCTACTAAAACACTTATTGTGTCTATCTCCACGTAATCCGGAACCAGGCTTCAGCTTGTTGATACTCCCTTCTTTAACACACTGCAATATTTTCACTATTAGCATTAAACTGAAACTTACATTTGTCAATGTTTTTGGCTGGTTCTAACGTGACCACGGTTGCCACTTATGGTACTTTTTTTTCGTTTGGTACTCATGTTCAAAAAATGGTACATTTTTGACCTCCCAACTTTATTGTGGATATTTCCAATTAATTTTTTTTTATAAATGCAACTTTGCACTATTTTTTATTTTGTTCATTTATAACACTATGAAAAAAACAGAACGAAAAAATAAAAAGGTCCAAAAAATTTTTGGACTTTTTTTTTTACAGAAATGGTACCTTTTTAAACCAATTTTAGTACAGGAAAAAATTTTTAAGTGGCAGCCGTGGTTCTAACGTGACCATTCTTCTTACAAGGAGAATTACAAGGAATTGTAGAATCAAAACGGCTTTCTTAGCTAATTGATTTGTGCCTCCTCTCTACTTCAACTAATTTTCTAACTAAATAAAAAAACCAGCTATTGCCGATGAGTTACTGTGTACTTTGTGTTCCACATCTAAGTAAATAGTTTGTAAAATTGTTGAACACCTAAGCCGATTTAATGATAATGAATTTCTGAATTAAATTAAAATTCACAAAAATTAGTTAGTGTTATTAAAAAATAAATTTATGTAAATTATATTTTGTTTTTTATTAGTCACATTAGAGCTCAACATATTGTCCGTGTTCAACATCATATACAACGTCATTATTTAGTCATACGATTTTGCTAAAACTCGTTTACAGAAATTAATTTACATATTTACATGTAAAGATATAGATGGACTTCGTCATATAAAATAAAAATTGTGGTTTCATACGAAAAAAAAATCGGATATGAAAAAATTATTTTGTAGAAATCACTTTCTTATATTTGTAAATAGCAATAAAATTTTTTTGCGATGAGATTTTTCAAAAATGATTTCGCCAATAAAAGATCTGCAGTATTCGAAAAGGTGCTCAGTTTTATCGAAGATCGACGCGCATATTTTAAAGATTTTTTGTTTCAATCGATTTTTTAAAATTAAAATTTTTTTAAATTAATATCACATCGTTTTTAAAATGAAACAGAATTGGATACGAGTAATTACTTGGGTTGTGTTAATGACAATTATCACCACTTCACCAGTCAACGGTGAGTGTGAACTTAAACCAAATAATCTGTGGATTCTAATTGTCTTTAAAATAAAAAATTTAATAAAAATGTGAAAGCTATATATAATAAATTCCATGTTTCTGTGAACCAATATTATTTAAGTGATATTAAAATGAAGACTATTTATATATAACACTTAGTGACATCACTTAACAGCATTTAAAGGATACATTTTTTTTTTATTATATTTAAACAAAGTGCAATGTTTAAATTAACAATCTCTTATTCTCCTATTAATTTTATATTATTGAGTAATAAGAGAATTTTTAATAAGATACAATCACGGTTGCCACTTGAAAATTTTTTTCTGTACCAAAATTGGTTTAAAAAGCTACCATTTCTGTAAAAAAAGGTCCAAAATTTTTCTATTGTCTTTTTATAAGAAAATACAATTTATATAAAATGTACAAAAAGTATAAAACAATACAACATCCACAATAAAGTTGGGTCGCCGAAAATGTACCATTTTTTGAACATGAGTACCAGAGTACCAAACGGAAAAAAAAGTACCAATTTTGGTACTAAAGTACCATAAGTGGCAACCGTGGATACAATACAATTGGATTTATATTTTATTTTTAACAGTGCGAAAAAATCTACCCTAACTTGTTGGATTAGTTATATCTCCTTGTGGATTCGATTAAGGACATATAGATCAGTTTCAGAGAAAACAAAATTTTTTTTCACACTAGATTAATCTACTGAAAAACTAATAAAATAAATCAAGTAGAATAAAAAACTAAATTCCTGTAAAATGAAAGTTTAATATTCAAAAACCTAATGTGCCTTATTTTTAATCATGGATTTAAGCACGCTAACAGTTTCCACTCTTTAATTAACAGCTTTGTTTTTTCTAACAAATTTTAAGAGACCTAATAATATTAGAAACATCATTTAATCCATTTAAATAGCAACGTAAACTATCAAAGCAAATAATAAGCGTAGATACCTGAAGTCTCTAAACCATGCTTTTTCTTCTATATGACTGAGATGAAGAAGATTAAATTTGCGAATATTAGGAAATTGTTATTACTGAGTTTGGGTTCATGGGTTTCCTGTTAGAACTGCGCAATTCTTGAAAGAATTCAGTAGTTTATGATATGCTGATAAATCTTCTCTTTATTCAACTGATATTTTTTATAGCAAATAAGTCGCTTCAGTATCTTTTAATCTTTAGACAACATTATTGATGCAATGTCGAAATTTCATATTGGTTTAAGAAATTTTTTTAGGAACGTGAATTAATTCTTTCGCTTAATCGTGCTTAACTACATTCTAATCACATCAAGTTAATACATATCATTATTTTTTTAAGTTCGAATGTTATAACAAATTATATTTCTATATCCTCTACGAAATTATATATCTTTTATGTAATAATTTATTTAGTATATTTATATTTAATATAAATATATAATATTACGATATATATAAATTTATGAATATATTAGATACAATATATTACATGCAATAATTTCAATAATATTTTAATTTAATAGGTAAACGTTTATTACTTCGACCTCTCTCCGCCACTGAAGTATACGATATTCTCAGAAGTGCAGGTCGCGAGGATGCAGTACCTGAAGGTCGTGTCGTTACACAAGGAATTGCTGCTGCTACTGGTTTCGTTCTTGGTCTTACGAAAGGTATTGGCGGTTCATTACTTGTAGACTTGGCAACATCTAATGCTACCACACAACTGCTTAGCAACATAAATACAACTGCACTCCTAGGCAGTTTTCAAGGTTTTAATACTTCTACTTTATTAAGTGGTATTCCAACTATAAATACCACTGCTCTTACAAATCTATTTAAATTTGGCAATTCTGGAAATACAACAGTACAAATTTCGACCCAAGAAATATGTTTTTCAAGTAGAAGTCTTAATGAAATTGACGATAGCGAAGACGATGTTGAAGCAATGGCTAGACAAGCGGCTACAACGACTGAAACGTTAACATCACCTACTATGCCTGCCACTTCCACCTACACTGATACCACAAATGACACTGGTGGCACTTCTGGTACTGACACACAAACCACGTCTACAACGGGCAGTACAACGAATTGCATTGTTATTAATAAACCTTTATCAGGATAATAATAACTGATAGAACAAAATAAGTACAAAATCTATTTTAATTTTAATGTATACTTAACCTTATTTATTTATTTATTAAAAAAATGTTATATTGAATAAATGTACAATTTTATTTCATTTGAAATAAGCGATTAGATAGGCTTTTGCAATATAAAAATTTTAATAGACATACCTATTACTTATATATAACATATTATACACTTGAAGACACATATCAATAACTCTTCGAAAATAGACATATAAACAAAACCCATTTGTTAAATATTGGGTTATGTAGGAGAATTTTGCAAACTTTATTCTTGTAGTCCAATAACCAAATCAGTTTATGGAGAACAGATGGCATTAAAGCCGTGATTCCAATACTTTTGCATTCATTTATCAAGTATTAACTATCTTACTATTAAATATGTCCAGAGGGTGACACTTTTTTTAAATATTCATATTTTCTTTTATTTTTGCTTATTTCATTTGTGATTTGAATAGAAAGTAACATATATATTAGATTTCTACTTTAATCGATGTGCGTTGCACTATACATCTATTTCAAATGTCAAGATCCGACAAGTTTGAGATATTCTTGATCGACGTACTAATATAGATCTTTCAAAATCTTTCTATTTAGTTTTTCTACTTTTTTTCTGTCAAACTCAACTTATATTTTTACCCGATTGTGATTACACACATTTCCCGCTGCAAGCTGACACCTATGCGCTGCTTAGACGGAAGAGAAAGCTATGTCTAACTTGTCGTTTCATGAAGCTTAAACCAGCTGTACTATATTCCATGTTTTAAGTTTATTGCTAAATTAATTAATGTTATATAGTAAAATAGTTCATGATGATGTCTTGTATCTTGTTAGGTTCAAATATTAGCTATTCGTGACACAGCGCGCGTTGATGAACTATTATATCCAATTAATTATATATACACATATAGGTAATACTAAATTTTATGTAAGAGACTGGAACTTTAATAGAACTATAGCAGTTCTCATTTTGTATATCATGTTATTATATTTAACTAAAGAGAAAATCATAAATATTCTAATTGTGTTTAATTTTTAATTTTATTTTCATTAACTAGTTTATTTATTAATCGCAATTCACTTTAAGATCTTGTGTATGTTAAAAGTGGTTTCTTGACAAGAATACATTGTGTCGAACCTGGTGATGTAGTAGTAGTTGTGGTAGTTGTCGGTACAGTAGTAGTGGGACTAGTACCGGTAGTGGCAGTAGTTGTAGTGGTTGCAGTTGGCGTTGTTGGTGTAGTAGGAGTCGTGGGAGAAGTAGGTGTCGTAGGAGAAGTAGGAGTTGTTGGTGTTGTACCAGTGGGGTTTGTACCGGTTGGAACAGTTGTTGTTCCAGTTGCTTGTCTTCCTTGTCTTCCACGCTTCTGTTTCTTTTGTTTTTTATTCCTTCTGGTTTTCGTACGGCGTTTTACATTACCTGACGTGGTTCCTGTGGATGCAGTGTTGAAGCAAATTTCTTGCATTTGAAATTGTGAATTGACAACTCCATTTAGTAGACTTGTAACATTTAAAAATCTGAAGTCACCATTGCTATTAGCTTTAATTGGTGCATCAGTTTTAATAGCAGCAATTCCTTGTGTTATTACACGTCCTTTAGGCACAACATCCATACGTCCAGCTTTTTCGAGAATACTGTAAACTTCATTAGCTGACAATGAACGCAAAGTATAATGTTTTCCTAAACACAATTTATTGAAGAAAGGCAAATGAGTTTTAGAGAAATTATTTAATTGTTTTTTTTTTTCATATATAAAAATTATAAAAAGTTAATATATAAAATTCGGTTTTTTCAAAATATTAAAAATACTATATATATATATTACGCGTCAGAATTGCTTTGCCTTTTTGTTGTTGTAAAAATTGTTTCCAAATATATTTAACACACAACACCACGAAATTATTTATATTAAACACTAAAAGCAAAATTCGAGATATATGAAATAGTTTTTACTTGTGTAATAAATTATAAATTTGATATATATATATTATTTCAAACCCATTTATTCATTTTTACACTTTTAAAATTGTACATAATAGAAAAAATATATTTTTATATATTTTTTATTTTATATTAATTTTTTTTTTTAATTTTTATATTAAAAATCAAATTTTTCATGCATATATTTTTTTTTATAATACACTTATTTCAATATAATTAATTTAATTCTAAATCCTTCTAAATCCACTTCACAATTCACTATAATTTCAACTCACCATTCACTGGTAGAAAAGCGTATATGGCCAGTGTCAATGACACTATCAAAAGCAAGTTTAACTTCATTTTTGCTCTAGAATAAACGTCTGAACTTCTGTTGAAGCAACAAGCTTAACTTTGATGGTCGATCTTAAGACTGAAACATACTTTCTTTGTTGCAGGTCTTTTATTAGCCAAACTATGCTCATTAAATTCATATAACTTTTTTTTTATTCTCTATTCTATCTTTTAGATCATTTAGTGGTTAGCCATTAGGTTGATTCTTTTTATTGCCGCTATTTTGACCACTTATGAATGAACAATTCGCATATTTAACATATAAAACTATCACAAAGAAAACTGCTTAAAATCTCTGAATACTTAAGATATTTTATCTATGTAAATAAATTTGGTGAAAATTTTTGTTTAATTTTTGATAGATAAATGTAATAATATATTAGACAATATCTTTTCCTAAACAAAAATTTAAATACTTTATAAACTTATTTTAATGATATATACATATATTTCTCATTGATCTATAACAGTATCAGTTCTTCGAATATAGTACAGAGTACTATATACCATACAATAGTGAAGCATTGCAGAAATCTCTCACACTTCAAGAAGTATAATACGCTCGAACTTATCACAAGTGTTATCAATTTTCAATAAAACAAGTAAACAAGATATTTTTATAATTTAAATATTTATTTCAACAAAATTTAATTTAAAATTTGTATAAAGCAATAAATTCATTTATGTAAATAACTATCAATTTCTGCTTAGGTCCTTGAGTAAGATATAAGTGGTTTTTTGACAAGAATACATTGTGTCGAACCACCCGTACCCGTAGTAGTAGTAGTTATTGTTGGATTTGTTGTTGTTGTAGTAGTTGGAGAAGTTGATGTAGTTGGAGTAGTTGGAGTAGTTGGTGTAGTTGGTGTAGTTGGTGTTGTTGGTGTAGTTGGAGTCGTTGGAGTAGTTGGAGTCGTTGGGGTCGTTGTAGCCGTTGGCTCCGTAGTTGTTACAGTTCCTGTAGGATTACCGCCATTTGATGTTGTTATAGCAGTGCCATCATCAGGCACTGTCGTAGTACCTGTAGCATCCTGTCTACCACGTCGTCCACGCTTTTGTTTGGTTTGTTTATTATTTCTTCTGGTTTTCCTACGTCGCTTTACATTACCTGATGTTGAGCCAGAAGATGCGGTATTGAAACAAATTTCTTGCATTTGATATTTTGGACTTAAAAATCCATTAAGCAAACTAGTTACATTTAAAAATCCAGAGGTACCAAAACTTTTAGCTAAAACTGGTGCATCAGTTTTAATAGCAGCAATTCCTTGTGTTATAACACGTCCTTTAGGTATAACATCTTCACGTCCAGATTCTTTGAGAATACGATACACTTCATTCGCCGATAAGGAACGCAAAGTATAACGTTTTCCTATACACAATTTAATGAAAAAAAAAACAAATCACAATTGTATTTTTAATAAATTAGTAATTTTTACTTGAATCAATATTAAAACTTTAAAATGTTTTAATAAGAGAAGATTTTTTTTAAGTATATTTTAAGAAGAAACTGTTAGCAATTTTGCTGATTTTTAATTGTTGCAAATATTTTTTTAAAATATATTAAACAAAATACAAAACTAAATTGAAAAATTATCAATAAAATATTGATCATTTTAAATACAATTTTAGTATTTTTTATATATCCTTCTAACCAATATATCCTTTAATTTTTTAAATTCACAAGTATTTATAATAAATTATTTTGGGTTTTGAACATTTAAAATTTTATTTAAATTTAATTTTTTCACAATTTATTTTTTTCAAATTTGCACATAAATTTTATTTTTTATTATATTTTAACGATTTTTAATTTTTTTAGTCCACTTCACAGTTTCATATAGATTTCAACTTACCATTTACTGGTAAAAAGGCAAATATTGTCAACACAAATGACACTGTCAAAATTAAATTAAACTTCATTCTGACTCTAGAATAAAGCTCTACACCCGCGTCTAACGAACCTTATGTTTGGTGATCGATCTAAAGACTTAAACGGACCTTAGCTGTTGCAGGTCTTTTATTGGCTAAACTATGATCAGTCGGATGATTTAGAGTCTTAATTTGATTCTATCTTCCAGTTCATTTGGGCGTTAGCCATAAACTAGATTTTTTTTTGCCGCTATTTTAACCATTTTTGAATAAGAAATTTCTATAATTTATTTACGAAACAATCACAAACTAAAATAGAACAAAAATCTGCCAGCAGTTGAAATATTTTATTTATGCAAATTAGGTTCGGTGAAAATTTTGATTTAATTTCTGATTGAAATATGTCAGTCAACATCTTATGTTATGCAAATCGTTTTGAAAGAAAGAAATAGATACTTTGCCGCAAAATTCTTTTTGTACTTTTTATAATTAATTATACAATTCTTTTTTATTTATACCGTTTTTAACTTTCTTTAAAATTAACTAAAAATGGAAATGTTTTAAATCAAGTTGGATGTACACATAACGCTACCACACATCCCATAGTATCTATACCTCACTATTTAATTTTTGTTTTTTTTTTTTAATTTTGAATGTTCCATAGTTAATACAATAACAGAGTTGTTAAGAATAATTTTATGAATGAATGGGAAAATAATGACGAACCCGTATTGTTCTTTTAAAGACACAACAATATTGTTACTGTAAAAAATAATATTAATAAGTGAAGGTCAATAAGTAACACTGCCAAAAATATATGTCATCAATCCAACTCAGACTGCATATACTGTAAAGAAAAGAGAGAAACTGCATACTATGTGCTTTGGGACTGCCCGACACTGATGCACAAGCAAAAGAAACATTTAGAATAGTATTTCATGGATCATAAGGATTCAAGACTAGGAAAGATGGACTGTATATTGTCTTTCATTAAAGAAATTGAACTTGGAGAAACACTTTAATTCGACTAAGTAGCACAATAGATCTTTAAGATAGTAATGCACGCTCCCTTCTTTTTAATAATAATAATAAATATCAAATCGAAAAATTTATGTATATAATTTATTTAAATTTATTTATATAAATTTATTTTTTATATATAAAAAATTTGTATATTAAAACAAGAAACCTAACATTTAGGTTGAACGTTTATATATATTCTATTGATATCCCCATCTGTTTTCTTACAAAAAAAAAACTTTTCAGTAATAAAGATCTATTTTCAATGTCCGTGTTTCAGTTTACGATGATCTGCCTAATTAATATGGGAAACAAAAACAATGCGTTGAACTAGTAATGGAACTGATTCTCTGATGTCATTGACAATGAGACTTTTCTATATAATATAGTTCAATAAGATTAATAAACAAATAACAAAAAAACACAAGGAATCATAAGTAAAAAAATAAAAACAGTATTTTTCTAACAAATAAAATTACAAAAATATTGCGTTGCCAACTACTTTCTTTTGTCATCTGTACAAGATTAAGATTCAAATAACACCCATCCTGTTAAATCCATAAAACAGCAACATTGGTGTCAGGCATTGGGAAAATTATTGGGCATATAATCGTTGCTAGCTTGAATGAAGCCATTAAGGATGTAAACACTTATAAGACGAAAAACGAAATCAGAAGAGGAATTCCTTTTTACAGCAAATCATAGAATCATAGATAGAAAACAATTGATAAAGACTGGTGTGCAAGACCGGTTGCTAAAATTTAAAACCAATATTGTTAAGGTTAGTGTCAGCTAACCTTACGGTTAGTTCTAAGTTACACACTTAGGTAACCCTAAAGTGATCGATATTGCCATTTTATTGTGCTGTGTAAGTTTGGAGCTTCAGCTTTTTTAACTATTAAGCATTAATTTTATAATAAAAATATATACTATACTTAATCATAAATAAACTTTTATTTTTATAACTTTAGTTACTAAAAACTATCTTGGATTTTGTACAACAACACAATTTACCGAATTATCACCATCAGTTGATGTAGTGGATGCTGAAAAAGTACGTGTTCCAGTGCCAGTATCAATATTTGTACCGGTACCAAAATTAGTTGTAGTTGTTGTTGGACTAATTCCATCATTAGTACTAAATTTTGAAGATAAACGAACTTTCTTAATACGTGAATTTGTTTTATGGCGGTGACCTCTTTTAAGCTTAGGTTTCTTTTCTTTAAGTTTATTTTGCCGATTGTATTTATGTTTTCTCTTATGCTTGCTATCACGTTTATTCCTTTTCATTATTTCACTGTTCAGACTTAAATTGTTTCCTTTAATATCGTCACGATAAGCCGCCGCAAAAGCAGTAGCTTCCTCTAAGCTACGTGCCTTGCGACTATTGAAACATATTTCTCTGGGCGTAGTAGCTGCAGTATTTGAGGCTGCATTTGTGCTGCTAGCACCTGTTGCTAAATCTAAATCAGTCACATTGGCTGTGATTATATCGTAGAGCAGTACACCGCCAATGGCTTTAGTTAGTCCAAGCGTAAATCCTGACAGTGCAGCTAATCCTTGAGTAATAACTCGTCCTTCTGGTACAGCATCTTCTTTTCCATTTCTATGCAGCCAGCGATATACATCAGCTGCGCTCAGTGGCAACATTCTCAGTTGGGTTGCTAATTAATTTAATTATTTTAAAGTATTAAAAATTTATAATTCCCATTTCAAATTAATACTATTTTATTTTTTTTTTGTGTATTTTACCTGCTGCATTGTTTAGGCAGCAAAAACCACAGACTGCTAATGTTGCTGCTATAGTTTGCCAGATAGTTGGCATCCTGCATCTGCTCCCATACGATATCAATTATTTTCAATAGAAAGTTCAATCTGCTACATCAAATGAACTTTTATGATAAATAAATTTGAATTTATAGTCTACAAAAGATAATAAATCCAACAAAATTTTAAAGTTGCTTTTTAGTGAAATTTAATAACAAAAGCTGACGCCTAAATGGTTTTTTTTTTGAGAAATCACAAAAAATATCTTTCTTGTAAATTTTATTGTGCGGTGACGGTACCTGAGGGGCTTTTAAATTATATTGTTAAAGTTGATAAATGAAGAGCACACATATAGATAATAATGTTAAGTATACATATTACTTATATTACGATACAATAATATAATATTATATGTGGCGGTTTCTTCATACATATCTATATGTATATATATTTTAAATTATATATAGATTTTTGGAGTCCCTCCAAGAAAAATCCACTGACCAAACAATTGCCTGTTAAAGGACCGTCAATATATAAAATTAAACCATTTTCTAATAACCGATCTTTAGACAGCCAAGTGTCTCTAAACAATAAATCGTCATTAGATGATTGTAAATGGGAAAGTTATAGTTAATATTAGAGTAGAACTAAAAAAAATAAAAAAAGGAGCTATGGCTGTTATCAGTAGCCTTCTACTCTGAAGTAGTTTTAAGCCTAAGAACATATTAGTTTGTTAACTTATTTCATCAAAATTCATTGGGTTAATTATTAGGTCTTTTACAACGATTTGAGTGATACCCAAAGTAGCACTAATACAGACTTCAACTTTGCGCTATATTAAGTTGAGTACCATTCAATAAGAATATTATTCCAAGGCCGTCCTTAATTAATATTGTTATTATCATTATGTTTTGGAGATTTTACACTGTGACGTAGAGATCTATTGTACGTCAGTCATGGGTTCAGAGAATTTCGTCAAGCCCAATTTGTCTTATAAATTATAGTAATGAATCTAACCTAGTAGATTTACTTACAGGTCACTGCAAACTGGGGAACTATGCTAGAAGATTTAATTTCCCTTTCAATCATACCTTCCGCAGCTTTGGGGAAGACGATAGAAGTGGCTCTCAACTACTCCGTCTTTGCACAGCTCAAGCACAGCGGCGACTCAACACTTTAGGAGCCTTCTTTCTTTAGGAACTTGATAAATTACAAGACCTACCACTAAACACTATTTTGAGCTTCGCCAAAGGTTCTAGCTTGTTTTAAACACTGAGTCTTCCTCTATATACGGTAACACAATGGGCCAAAAGATCTAAGTACATCCCCTAGGAATCGTCGATATTGCCTGACCTAACATTATGCTTGTCAGTAGTTTTTTTTATTGTACGCTTTCCTAGCTCATTCGTAGGTACTTCTATTCCAATTAACTTAACTATCAAAGACAATTTCTACAAGAAATATACTTCCATATTATTCGGTTATCAAGCTCGTTGCTACTAACATATAGTAAAAATTTAAATTATTTAATAATGTTATAAATAGTATAATTGTTTTCTTATGTCTACATCCTAAATACTTCAATATATAAATATACGGCAAAGAACTTGGAATTCTTCTTTGCATTAAATGTATCAAAAACTTTTGGAGTCCAAAGCATAAAAATCTATTTCAGATTAATATTATCTCTTTCACTTAAGTAGCAACCACTTTAACCTTTTCACATAGACGTATTAAATATTATAAAAGACACTCATAATATTCATAAATGAGTCACTATTTTTTTCAGAAATTAATGGAACTTTAAAATTAATTCAGTAGCTATTTTTTCTAAACTGAAATTTAAAATATCTTTGAATATTTTTTACAGTATTTATGAAAAAAAATTTTTTATCAAAATATTATATAACAAAACAATATGAAAAAATTTCTAATTAATTAAAATACAAATTTTTTATTTATATTTAATTTTTTCACAAATTTCCAATTTTCGTAGCACTTCTGTCATGAATATGCTACGCTTGTTATCAATGAAATAGCAGCATATCACAACGCATGCCACTATTAATTAACATTCGCCGATATTAGCCACTAAATATAATTAATGATTAATTAATTAAAATACCTATCAATATATAACTTTCACTTTCGTCCAAAAAGAAACCAAAAACACTAAACAACTTTCATTCAAATGCGCCGCATAAACAAAACAAATTATAATTTATTATTTAACAAGTCGAATGGTCACCGATAAAAGTGAGAGGTCAATAGGTGTCCAAAGTCATAAGTCAACAGCACCGCAGCAAGACAAGAGGTCAGTCCGTAGCAACAAGAAACGATGTCGTTGGCAAATAAAAAATCTATGCTCGCCTGAAGTAACAAATTTTGGCCAAATTCTGTTTTGGTGAATTCTTCTTCTTCCTCCTATTAAACATTTTGGACTCATTAACATAATTTTGAGCAGGTTTTAAGCAGAATTCTGTTAAGTTTGTTGTTGTTCGTTGACTAACAGACGAACTGAACATCTACTTTAATATTATTTAAATCTATTTTATTAAGATATTTTTAGATAAATTTATACGACATAAATACCGTATATGAAACAAATAATTTAGGATTATTGACAGAATTGGAATGTATATTTTATTTTATATTTTTATAAAATCCTCTTCGAACTTTAAGTAATTAAATTAAATTCTCCAATATTTCGCAGTATAATTTGTAAGAAGAAATCAATACAAGCCATAACTTTTTGTCGAAATAATATTTACCCTTTTATATATTCAATTACACAATGCATTGCTGCTCTCTGTAAGTTCTCTATTTTATGGTGGCAAGTAAATAATATAAAAAAACTAGGCTCAGGCCGCATTAAATTACCCTGGAAACTCCCATAAGTGTTAATGTTGTGATTTTATGTGTCCATATAAAAGCACAGCTAGGCATTTAGGTTTCTCATATATGGCACAGTTTCGAACGCTTACGTGCAACATGTGGCCTAAAATTTCCCTTTTTCAATTCTTACCCATAAACTTCTGGGTTTATGCCATAAAAAAGTGGTAAAAAGTCAAGTTTAGGTGTTTTAGTTTTTATTAGATCAACAAAAAATTTCATGCATATACGTAAATGAAGCAGTCAAGACGTTTTATGAACGGAATATGGTACTAGTATGTAGGAGTACATGTAAACTTAAGTATAGAACAAAAATAGTTTTTGCAACACCTTACAATGACCCAATTCGATTTTAGACATTCTTAAGTATAACTAAATCAGTTAGGAAACGGACTTTGAAAGATTTTTTTACAGGAATAAAATTCTTCAATTAACTAACATTAAGTTAGACACAACACATAAAGAAAATAATTGAAGTTAATATACAATCATAATATTATTGAAGAATTAGTTTATGAGAGCCCCCACCGAAAGGAAACTATAAATTACACAAATAACAAACAACTGTTTCAATGCGAATGACTGAAAAAGCACTGTAAAAATCCTCATTGAAGTAGCTAAACAGCAGGTTAGGGGAATATGTTGAGTGTCAAAATAATCTGTATGTTTTTATTAAATTTAACTACTTCCTACATAAGTTAGGTTAAGTGAAGTGGAGGGAGGCAGGGGTCCTCCTCAATAAGCTAAAAAGCTGTTATGATTCCACAATTCCTCGTAATAATGGATAGGAGAATGATTATGCTGGAACCAGCTGGAAGCGTTGATCAATGTAAAATCTGGCCAACGCTAATGCTGAAAACATCACCAAATGTATTGAAAAGTGAGGCACCCAATAGCTTAAATCTGCTTCTACACAAGCCTGTACGCAATAGAAGTTTTGGTGACTTTTCAACAAGAGCCGGTAGACATGCCGTCCTATAGTCCAGCGCCCTGTTAGAACAGATATTAACATTGATACTACTGATTTGCTTCTGTGTACCAAGTCACAGGTTTTAGATTTTAAGTAAAATTTCCAGACATTACTTGACCTGCCTGTTGAAGATATATGAGGTGTAAAACAACCTACGGCTGTGGAAAGTAAAGGCAGGGATTGGAATAAGAGTTTCTATAGAAGACGGAAGAAAAGACGAATGAAATTTGAACTTTTTTCACTAAAACTCATATTAATACAATTGATTAACATATGTAAATTGAATTGTCCAATAAAGTGATTTTTGATGTTTATTGTAAGGGTCCCATATTGAATATACAAAACCATATTATAGCTGAAATCGTAAATTAATGTGATAAGTGATTTATCAAAAAAAGCAAATTATCTACGATATTAAAAAGGATATCGTAGGAGATTTTCCTTGGACTAGATGCCGAAATGTATTTATCATCTGATATGATATCCAATGGATTAGAATCCATTTACCGGTTTGGAAAATTTAATATAAATGTTACATACACATTAGCCGCCTTAAAAGTAACTTTAATTTAATCCACATGAATTCTTCAGAGATCGGTTTGAAATTAATAAGGAAAAGAGTAAGATAATAAGTAAGGGGTTAAATTCATCCGTTCATCAATAGAAACCTGTGGGTTTGAGTAAATTCAATTAGAACTAAAAATCCAATTAAGACGAGCTCAATTTCAAGTGTACTTTACACTCTCAGAAACCAAATAGCAACAATGTTCAAAAGGTACTGAGGTAGCGCACTAGTATGCTTTCTATTTTATGGAACTTAAATAGTGTAGAGTACTATTACAATCCAGTTAAAATTTTATACTTTTATAAATCAATATTAACGTCGTACTTTGTGTATCTGTTAATGTCCAAAACCTATTTTTGATTCGTATAAATCTAACTAGAGCTACAGAAAAAAATATGGGAACCCAAATAGACTGGATAAGACACATTCTCAAAAGAACATATAACAATTGTTCTCAAAAAGTACTGATGAAATAGAAATGACAATATTCTAATGTCTACATATTTTATGAAAGTGAAATCTTTATAACCTAATGTCAATGCTGTACCTATTTTGTATATCTAATGATCCCAAAGTGTGTTCAATACTGATCATGCAAATCAAATTAGAGCTACTGAAAAATAAGGTATCC